CTGTGCCTGCACCCACACCTCTCCCCACGTCCCCCCATCCTGGCAAACCGGCCCCTCCCATCCCAGGAGACCTCGTACCTGCTTCCTGGGAGAAGGGAAGCCTCTGGCCCGGGGGCAGCTGCCGGTCACGTCCCCACCAGGCCTGCGGGGCTGCCTCTCCCAGGCTCCTGCCTCCCACCGGGCCTCTCTGCCCGCATGCTGGCACCTGTGCTGGGGCAAGTGGGCGGGGGGAACCACGGAATAAGATCCTTGCCATGAGCCCGTAGAGGGCGGTGGCCACTAGCAGGGGCGTGACAAAGAAGACCGTGAAGTCCAGCAGGTAGATGGGCAGGCAAAGGCCGCGGGACACCGTGTAGCTGCACCACAGGCCCCGGTCCCCGTCCACATCGAGGTCCACCAAGAAGAACCAGAGCAGGCAGTAGGTGGACGTGGCCCCCTAGACGCCTGCCATGATGCGCTTGGCCTGCGCCAAGGTGCACACGGTATGTGCCCTCATCCGGTGGCAGATGGCGATGTACCTGCGGGCCACAGGGTCATGTGACCCACCCACCTGCCCATGTGATTGGGCCACGGTGGGGACACTGACCCCGCTCGGCCAATCAGATTCCCCGCTGGGGACCAAATGTGGCCTCGATGGTTGAACTGGCCCTTTTATAGGGACCTGGAGGGCCATGACCATCTGGGAAGCGAGGTGGCCATGCTGAGGGAGACTCAGGCTGCAGAACACAAGGAGCCAGTCTTGAGAGGAGAGGGCAGAAGGTGAATCGGAAGAGCAGAGCTTGTCTGCCTCTCGGGGGTACAGATCAGAGCCAGAAGAGCCCCGAGAGGGTGCCCAGTCCACTGCCCACATTCCGGGCAGGGAAACTGAGCCCAGAGAAGTGCAGGGTGCCTTGGCATCCAGCAGCAAGTCAGCAGCTGTGGTGAGACGACAACCTGCTTCCTGGTGCCTGCCCCCTCGCCCACCCTGGATGCCAGTTTACTCCAGGGTCCCACAGGCTCCCCCCCATAAATGGGGAGCAGCCTCAGTTTACCAAGGATCACGGCCAGGAAGCCCTGGCATGCAGGAGGGGCCGGGAGCGCCGATCTCTCCACGGTGAACTCCAGGACGGAGCAAGAGGAGGCACTGATGCCCAGGAAGCCAGTGTAGCCACAGACCCACTGCCCAGCCAAGCTGTGGGAGACGATGGGCAGCCCTGCAGCCACCAGTACGGCAAGGTCAGCCAGGGCCAGGCGAGCCAGGTAGCAGTCGGTGGGTGTGTGTATGTCCTATGTGGTCAGCACCACCAGGACCACCACGGCATTGCCCGCAATGCCCACAGCACACACGAGGAGCAACAGGAAGACCGAGGCCACCTTGTACACGACAGGGCTTGGGACAGTGTCCCTGCAAGCCAGGGGCACCTTGCTGGGTGTTTCCCGGCCTCTTCCTGATTTCTGTGTTGGCTGTGCAGGCACTGGAGGGGGAGGGGCTCCAGGAGGCATCCACTGCCCGCGGCCGGGCCTCCGTGAACACCGGCCTGCTCTGAGAGCCTGGCCCCGGGGACACGCAGGAACCCGGCACTTGGGACGGGACTGCTCAGTCAGGTTGAGAGAGGACCAGGAGTGCCCGTTCTGGGCTCTGCTGTAAATAGTGTCTGCGAGTCAGCCACTCTTCAAGCCTCAGTCTCCTGGTGCGTAAACACAGACAACGGTCGGACCTAAGCCGTGAGCTCGCGGGGAGGCTGAACCCGGAAGAACGCCCGGCGAGCCCTGGCCCAGCTGCCCTTTGTCGTTAGGATGCCGCACAGCATCTCCAAGCCCAGCTAGCTCAGCTGTGAAACGGGAGAACTGAGGCACCGGCTTCTCGGGGACGTGGCGAGATTCCCACGAAACGGCGGGGCCTGGAAAGTTCTGGGCCTGGAGGCTGGTTCTGGGCCCATGTCTGCTATTACTGGTAACATTAAGGCTTCAGTCATGCGGGGCCTGTTTCCCCAGCTGCCGGCAGCTGTGTGAACTGAGTGAGACGGAAGTGCCCGGGGGCCCCGGGAGCCCCAGGCCTCGGCCCCTACAGGCTCTGCTCCTGATCCGGGAAGAGCCAGCCAGCCTCCCACCTGTCGTGGTTCCCGCGCGGTCCCACACCACGCACAACCCACCCCTCTGCCCTCTGACCCTGCTGGTGTCACTGGCCAGAAGGACCACATGCCAGCTCCCTCAGAGCCTGGACTCCCACCTCCGCAGCCACGCCCCCCATCAGCTGCACGGACCCAGGTCCCGAGCAGAGCCGAGGCCCCTGCAGCGCGGCGGAAGCGGCGCCCCCTGCAGCTCCCACGAGTCAGGGCAGGGCTGGGAGAGAAGCGGTGGCCCCAGGACACAGACCACACACCTGTGCACACACACAACACACACACAATACACACAAAACACAACATGCCATAATACACACATAGCACAACTCCCTGTGCACACCAACATGTGGAAACACACCACTCACAAACCCACACCCCCCTCCCTGCACAGCACACCCAACACACCCAGCCGTGCACAGACACATGCAGACCCCGACACACAGGTGGGCACCCCACACACACCTGTACCCACACGCAGGGACCCAAACGCACACACATAAATGCACATCACAACTCGCCCACACCCCCACAACACGGGTGTCTGCTGTAACCACAGACACGCACCGTCCACACTCACACGCCCAGGTGCACTAGGATGCAGAACACACCACACACCTGTGCCCACAGCGCCTGCAGGCACTCCCCACACTTGGTCCACGTGGCCTGTGGCCCCTCACTCTCCTGAAAATGAGCCACCCTCCTGTTTAGCTGGAGGAGACAATTGCCCCAGGGTCCCAGCAGCCGCTGTGAACTCCAATTCCCTCCAAGGGCTCCAATTCCCTTCTGCTGCTGGAGGCCCATGGCCCGGGGAACAGAACCCAGCAGCCTCCCTACCTGCTGTGCAAGCCCCTTGCAGCAGGGGGGGCGCTCACCCATCCCTGCCCCTTGGCATCTCTGGGACCCTCCCCTCCCCACCTCCCTCTTCCCTCCTGCCTGCATGCGAGCCTTTCTCCACAAGACGTTCCACCAGGCAGGCAGCTGGGACCATTGTCTCCCAGCCCAGCCCCCAGGAGAAACTTGGCAGCACTGAGAACTTACTGGCGAAGCCTCAATGCCTTCTTCCTCCTCCCAGAGGGAGACAGAGAGAGAGGAAAGGCGATCCCACAGGCAAGGCTCTTGGTCCTGCAGCTGCAAGGCCGCACACGTATGTACATACGTGCCGGGAGCTCGCACACCCAGACACGGGGCCCCGCAGCTTCTCCCCGCTCCGCCACGCCCCTCCGCCCACACCGCGGGGCCCAGCGCCTGCCGATGCAGCTGCCCCAGCAGGATGCCCCGTGAGAAGAAGGCCCAGGACCGCAGCACCCCCTGCCTCCCCCAGGCCACGAGTTCGGCAGGCTGGGAAGGACCGGGCTAGCCAGCCGAGCCCTCCGGGCCGGACGGGAGGGGGCAGAGACCCAGGGCAAAGGTGGGGAGGGTGCGGACCAGTCCCCCTACCCATGAGTGGCCAGGCTGGGATTACCTGGTGGCTGCTGGGTGTCTGGAATCTGGAAGGGACTCTGGTGTGGGGGCCGCTCCGAGGACACTCCACCGCGATCTGGAGGGGAAGGGACTCCAAGCGCCTCCGCAGCACGTGCCAGCAGGGAGACGGGGCTCAGGACGTGTGTGGCGGCTCAAGAGAAGGGGCCCGGGCCTCGAGGCTCCAGGGAGCAGGGCTGCCCCACCCTTCCTGCTGGGGTGGGGCTGCTGTGTACCCATGAGGGCTAGCCTTTGGGAAGAGACCCTGAAGGGGCCCCTCAGCAGGAATGTCCCCAAATTGTCTCCCCCAAATGGCCAGGGGCCTGGCTCCTCAGAGGCATTTAAAACGCAGATTCCAGGCCAGGCTGTGTGTCACAGGCATGCACCCCAGGACCCGGGAGGGACCCGTAAGCATGCAGGTTCCTGACCACTGAATTGAATATCTAGGAGCAGGCCCTTGAACGCGTGTTGTAGTGGCTTTCTCTCCCAGGAAGGCCAACACCTGCTGTCTTTCTGATTTTTACATTTTTATTTTGGAACAGAATACATTCAGAGAAAGGCACACAGAACATGAAGGAAGGTTGGTGAATAAAGTGTGCACGCAGTTACCACCCCCACCCTGGCTGGCTTCCACTGCTGTGCCATCCGGGAGCCTCTGTAACCAGATCCACACGTGATGGCGTCCTGCTCACTCCACTGAGGTCAGCAGGTGGAGAGTCACCCTGGCCGTGGGTGCAGTAGCTCACCGTTCCCTCAGCTGTGTGACTCTCCCCTAGAGGACTGGACCGCAGTGTGTCCATGCACTACAGGCTGTCGATGGACTTGGGGGGGGTCTCAGCTTGGGGGAATCACAGCCACCACTGCTGTGGACACTCCTGTCCAAGAGTCCTGGCTGAGTGCATTTTCATCAGCTTGATCCAGAAAGTAGGATTTCCGGGACCTGGCTGGACTCAGGACCACAAAGATGAGTGGAGAAGGGGGAGGACCGGTGGGGAGGGCAAAGGGTGACAGAAGAGACGGCACACTTGGCAGGCTGTGGTCTCCACTGCCCCCAACAAGCACCCCAGCCCCCACAGGGCTCCCCGGAGCACTGGGAGGGCCTGAGGGGCTCAGCGGTGCCTGGTGGACAGAGGGTTGCCCTGTCTCTCCCCTTCTGCTGCTGCCACGCCCAGCCCACCTCTGGCTCCTCTCCTGCCTCCTCTAGGATGGCCCTCCCCCAGGAATTCAGCTCCCAGGACAGCCCCCAACTGCGGTCCTCCTGGCTGGTGCTGAAGCCACCCAGCTGGGACTAGTACCCGTCTTTGATCTCACACTTCCCTCGTCCTCCAGGCCCTCCTCCTCTCTCAGACAGAAAAGACGGCCAGAGGGGAAAAGGCATCGCTGACCAGCACCTACATAGGGAGTGCCTCCTCCACCTTGAGTTCTCACGTACTAACTTGCCTGTGGACAGTCCCCATCGCACAGAGTTTCTTGCGTCCCCACCCCCTGGTGCCCCAGGTGCAGCCAGCCTCCTCCGCCACTTTCGTTCCTAGTGAGACAGCTCTCTGACGATTTAGCTGTCCACTCAGAGAGGAAAGGACTCGGTGCTGTGTCCCCACAGCAGAAAGTCTAGCCATTAAAACTGACGTCGTAGGAGCAATCAATCGACACAGAAAGACGTTCGCAGCGCGACGAGCTAACGGCGGGCTCTGACTGGCGGGTAAGTGCTCTTTCTCGTTTGCGAAATGTGTTCAAGTCTCACAGCAACCGTCCACCAGGAGCTTAGCAAGTGGCCCGCGTGGGGCACAGCCCTCGGCCTCTCGTGGCAGTCACAGCCCTCCCCTCCTGGAGGCCACTGTTACTGTTGCCAATTTTCAGAACAGAAAGCAGAGTCTCACAGAGGCAAGGAAGCTTCTCAAAGCACACAGCTAGTCAACGACAGAGCTGGGCTTTGAACCCAGATCCCTCCTTCTACAAAGTAGGTGTCCTCGACCACAGGCTGGACAGCCACTCCTGTCCCTGCAACCGCAGAGTCACCGAGAGGACAGGGACACACCCAGATCCTGGGCCACCTTATTTTCTATGTCTGCATTAGTAAATGTGGATTGATTCTGCAGTTAGAAAGTGTGCGGAGATGCCCCACAGAAGGGCCACCTGCATCACGGGGTCCTTCCCACACTCGGTCCCCAAGGCCGCGAACCCTGCGGCAGGCGGGTGGGGTTCCTAGCGGCTGTCTTGGAGCCTGAGCACCACAGGCAACTTGTTTTCCGAGACAGGAAGCTGTTGGTTGCACCTCGGCGTGGCACATGGGCCCCGTGGGCTCTACTGGTGGCCAAGGTGCAGGAGGGTGTCAGGGTGTGAAAGTGCCGTGTGCAAGCTGTCACCGTGGGAAGAAGTCTCCGGCTGCTGCTAAAGGCTGCGAGGGGGGAGCTGGGCTGCCCTTCGCCCCTTAGTTCCACATCCATTCACTCATTCATTCACTCACCAGAACCAGCGTGTGGAGGCGCTGCCGAGTGCCAGGGCGGCAAAAACACATGAAGCCCAAAACCTCCAGTGAGGGGTCCTGGGAGTCCCTCCCCAGCCTCCTGGGGGCCTGCAGACCTCGTCAGACAAGCGGAGGCAGGTGGCCACTGCTCTGCGGGGCGTAAGAGTGGCCCCGAACGTCTCCAGGGAGGGAAGGAGGCCGGGTGGGATCAGTGCTGGGACCCCTCGGAGGTCGGGATGGAGCCTGGAGGGGACAGGCGTCCCACGGGGGTCAACACCCCTAACGGTGGAGCCCACCCCTCTGCAGCCTCTCACTGCATCTGGGTAGGGGCTGTGATGTGAGTGGCAGTTTGGATGAAGGGGTGTGTGTGTGCACGAGCTGGTGCCCTCCCGTGCCCCTCACCACTCGACCGGGAGCAAGTGCAGGGACAGATGGCTTGTGGAAGTCCAGAAGCGTGAGGCCCACCCGGCCCGGGGCCCCAGAACCCTGGGCTGGCGCGCCCTCTGGTGACAGCCGCAGACAGCAGTGGAGGCTGGTGGGCATTGGGCCGCTTGGAGAGGTGAGTCCTCTGGTGGATTCGTCCTGCATACTCACTTCCCAAGCGCGGCTTTCAGTCAAAAGCCCTTGTGTCGAGCTCACCTGTGTTAACGACAACCACAAAAGCTGGGCAAAACCATCAAGACACACACGTTGAAGCACTTGGGGGCCGGCTGGGAAAGCCCTGGGGAAGGCAGGGGACAAAGTGAGCCCCACACCACTCTGGCCTTGGGGACAGAAGCAGGAGGCACAGCCTTGCTGAGCTGAGGAGACGAGGCTCAACAGCTGGGGCTTAAGGGGAAGTGCCCGCCTGGGGAAGACCGCAGGGACCAGCAGAAAGCACCGGGGAGCTTAAACAACTCACACTAACTTCTCATGGCTGTGGTGGGTGGGAGTCCGGGGTCAGGGTGCCAGCGTGGCCGGGCTCTGCTGAGAGCCCCTCCCCCTTCTGTGTCCCACCGGGGCTGGCATCTGGTGTCTCCTCTTTTACAGACGTCGCCCTTTCATAGGGCTGAACAGCATTCTGCTTCATGCACGGACCACAGTCTGTTGATTCACCGTCTGCTGAAGGACATCCAGGCTGTTTTCACTCCGCGGCTGTTGTCAATAACACTGCTGGAACGTTCCCGTACAGGGTTTCATTGCTCTGGGGGTGGCATGGCCGGGTCATGGGTTAGCTCTGTCTACGCGCTCATTTCTTCCCTTGCTCATACGGATAACACGGGCAAGTATGCGGGAGCCCAGTCAACTCCTCTGTGTGCAGACACTTGCCTTAGTGGGCTGGATGGGGCGGGCTGCCCTGAGGAGGGGATCTTCTTTGTGCTCACTGCGGGCTCTCTGGAGCAGAGAGATGGGGCTCTCAAACCCCTAGGTACCCCCAGGGCCAGCCACAGAATTTGCAGGGTCCAGTGCAAGATGAAAACACGGGCCCTTGTTCAAAAATGACCAAGAGTTTTAAGGCAAGGAAAGCAAGGTGTTCGACCAAGCCCGGGTCCCTCTAGTGTGGGTCCCTCCTCCAGCAGGGAGATTCTGAGCCTCTGTGGGACGGTTCTGTGAGGCCGTGAAGGCTTCAAACACGCCCCAAATGCCACAGGACGTCCTTCTGGTCAAGGAAAGGTGACTTTGTGTTAAGCTGATCACGTTTAGCAAGATGCGGAGTTGTTTATTCCCACAGAAATGGTTTAAAATGTTAAGCTTCGGAGTGTAAGACAGGCTCAAGGATGTATTGTACGACATGGGGAATATAGCCAATATTTTGTAATAACTAAATGGCAAATAACTTAAAATTGTGTAAAAAATGTTTTTTAAAATTTTAACTCAAAAACGCTTTAAGCTTTGATATTTAAACTCAGTATCTCAAAAATGATTAAGCTTTATGCTGCGCTGGTTATTTTTTAAGAAAGCTGTGTAAAATAAATTCAGCTGAGTTAATCTGAAGATCTAATTAGCTTTATTCAACAATTTATGAACCAGAAAGCATCCCACCTAGCACGTGGAAAGGCCTCTAGGAGCTGTGCAAAGCCGAGGTTCTCACAGGCGCTAGGAGGGCCATTGTTCAGACAAAGTCACCTTCCCCGGGGGGACAGCAGGCAGGGGCTCTTAGGCAGATCACCTCCTTGGTGCTGACCAGAAAGTTCCAGGATGATGGGGTTTCAGTTTCCACCCCTGGGAGA